CATACTTATCCCATAGCAAAGATCTTTAAAAGATGTTGTTAACAATGTTGTCGTGGAAATTGCCAACAGGTTTCCATTTCATATCCACATAGAAGAATTACTTAGACGATCCACGGACTTGATGATGATCCTAAGCATATGTGAACAAATTGCGTGGCCCGTTGGCAGGAAATTTGTTCAATCTGCCAACAAATTGGCAAAGACACGCAATACCGCAGAAACCGAACGAATCGAACGAAGTGAGTGTTAAGCCAAAACTTGATGAGATGCAAATGGATTTGTGAGATAAAGAGCAGGCCCCAAAGACACACAGAGAGGGAGAGAGAAGATCGGGGACCAGTTTCCGAGTGAGGACGGATACAGGACAGACGCAGAGCCAGTCCAGACCCAGACGCAGACCCCGTCCAGAGCCAGGTCCGACGTGGGCCCCAGCCGAATGCTGGCTTATTATTAACTGTATAATTTAATGTGTAGGCAGGAAATTGATTTATTATCAACGCAAGTTAATTTTTTTCTCATTTTATAAATTAAGAAACGCTTGCAACCATTCCTTGCAAAACAACAAAAAGCCAATAAAAATAAAAGAAGCCACGACAGGGAGGTACCCTGGTATGGGCAGGCAAAGACTATAAGAATTATATAGAACTTTAAGAGAGTCCCTGTTCTCTATAAAAATACATATTTACCCTGATATATGCACCCAATATACCCCCTAGAACTCTTTGGCGTACCTTTCGAGGGTATACAAAATAAATCACAAATGAAGTTGTTGGCTCCCACAGTTAACCAGGTGGAGGGGCAGAAGGGGCAACAAAAAAAAAAACAGAAAGCAGAAAAAACGCCCGTCATCGGGAGATAAGGCCAGAGACAACCGTCTGCCGCCGCCTCGTTTGGGTGACAAAATCCACGCCACAGGAGGATGACTCCGAAAGACGAGGGACAGACGAGAGGGAGAGACAGGAGGCAGGAGGCCTTGCCGCCGTCACAGTCACTTAATAATTTATCGCGCCTACTTTTTATGTGTGCGTTTCTGTCGCCCCTTAAGGATACCCTCACAGAAGATACCCTAAGAAGCAGAAATGGGTGAGGTTAAGAACTATTGAAGATACAAATATCAAAGATTCAGCTACTAAAAATACACCATATTTCTGTGAAGGAAGGTTTTTTCAGAGCATCTGCTTTTCGGCTCTTTCTACAACTCTCTTGTTTTTTTTTTTATATTATCTTTGTATCTGAATGTTTTGCTGTTCGTCGAGTTATCTTTGAATGTATCTGCTAGGTAGGCGCTTTGCCAAGTTGTGCAAAAAAATCGAGAGATATTTGTGTGGGATAAGTAAGAGAAAATACATCAAATCAAATAAGAGCCGAAAACATTGGTGAAATATTCGAAAAGAAGGTAGTAAGCGAGAGATAAAGACTATCAAAACATGATACACCAATCCTCCACCAATCCATAATTAATCAGATTGAATGGGATATATGCTATCTCTTCCTTTGACTCTTCCTCTGCCGCCGCTTAAGCAGGAAACTCGTCTGTCAATTGCCCCGAATGAGTCGTCGATTGTGCCACCAGTTGTCGGTACTTTCGATTTCTGATCGAAATAGTTTGTCAGGGCACATGACAAGTGATTGTTACTCACTCGTATGGTCGTTGTCGTTACCATTGTTACGATGTTCGGACAGTCGACTGTTGGATTGATTGAAGCAGGAGTTTGGTTGGTCGTCAAGCCGTGACAATTGCATTTCATCAAAAAGTTTCGTCGAATTTTTTGGGTTCAGCAGTAAATTGCTATTAAATTGCCACACAATTGCAAAATGCCATAAATCGAATGGGATTGAAATGAAACGAATCGTCGAATCGAATCGAGTCGCAGCAGAGTTCCCACTTCCATGTCCGACATGGAGTTCCAATGTTCAAGTCCATGTCCATGTTGTGACCCGAAAGAGACCCACTACCACTCCCACACTCCCGCGGAGCGAGCTGGAATTTAATGGCCTGGTTTTCCGCTTGGTTAACTCAATTTGCGTGGCTTCTTTCAATTAGGTTTCCGCTCGGTTCCCTCTCGACTGTCGACTGTCTGCTGTCTGCTTTTGTGTTGAATGGAAAGCTCATTTCACTTAAATATATAGAAATTGGTTATTTGTTTATTTGTCGCAAATAAAACGACTGCGGGGGGTGGTTCCGTTTAAAGAGTTTTTATAGATTTTTTCTTTGAACTCGTAAAATAGAAATGTTAAATAGCCTGCCCGCAAATGAGTTTGACGACAGTTGCTGGCACAGAGGCCCGGTGGCAGGTGCAGTCTGCAGGCCCAAGCCCAACCCTCAACGGCTGCACCTTGGTGGGGGGTCTCTCCGGCCTGCGACTCAGTAACCCAAAACCCATACCGAAATCGTTGCTAATCAATAATGAAGCGCTGATGAATCAATTAAATGGCATTTCGGCTCCAAAGAGCAGCCATTTATCACGTGGGGCATAAAGAAGCTGCCAGCGAATCCGCCAAAAGTCATTAAAATGCGTCGTCTGGTGTCTGTCTCCTTATCCCCGGCTGCAACATGCATCAAACAACAGCAGAGGATAGTAAGACGACGAAGCGAACAGCAAGTTGGCCCCCAAAACGATAAACGCAGAAATTATTTCAAGCAAATAATGCGAATTTAATGTGACATCCGACAGGCGACAAGAGACAGAGACTCGGCAAGAGGACTGCGACTGCGACTCTGAAGCTCTGAGGCCAACAAGCCAATGAATGCCAGGACGATGGCTAAGAACGGACCTCACAAAAGGAACAACTGTGGGGGTACCTAGTACTTGAAGGCATAGAGAAGAGGGAATACTCTTTCTATCTTTTGTTTTACTTAGGTATGACACCTCTTTGATGTCTCGAAGAATTATTACTGCAGGACTTCTAATATAATTTGGAATATATAATATATATGTAATATATAACAAAAGAGCTATTTATAGTCTTAAGTTATAGAGAGAATATTCCATCACAAACAGATCTTTTATCACTGATCCATTATATATTCTCTAAGCATCTTAAACCTTCCAAAACTTACATTCAAAAACCCAACTAAGCTTCCTAATAATCTCGTCTATTAAGCCATCTTTACCCTATATTAAAACAGGAGGATACCTATTGCCTGCTGGCAGTTCGAAGTCTGCCAATGACCAGTTTTGATGTGACAGCAGTGTACCCTCTTCCTGTCAGAGCGCACTTCGCAGTCCCATCTCCCCCAGCCAAGGGGTACGCACCAAATGACGCATTATTGAACTGTCAATGGAAGTGACAAAGGGTTAACAGTGTCACCATCGAGTAGTTATCCATTTATTTCTCTGAACCCTACCAGAGAGAAAGGGGGGGTGAGTGATGGATAATGTGATCCTGGAATTGAAAGATGTACATAAAATGAACATTTGTTTGAATTTTTCGAAATGAAAGAAACTTGGCTTTTCTTCCTGCACTATCTGAATCTAAAAAGTTTTGGCCATAAAACTTTAGCTAATCTTCAAGGCCCCCAAAGGCATCGCATATTTATGGGATGAGCCAAGAGATGTGGCCAATTGAGTGAGGCGTCTGTCTCACCTTGCCCTGGCCTGGGACCTGAACCAGAACCTGGGCTTGGTCTTGGTCTTGACTGTTGGCTCTGCCATTTCAGTGGGTCAGTGTCATCATTCCGTGCTGGACTTGTGAGCATCAAATGGCCGTTGGCCAATAAAACCCAACACTTTCATATGGGTGTGTGCGGATGTGTCTGTGTGCATCATCTTTTTTGGGGTCGGGTTCGAAGTTCTGAGTGGGGATATGGAGATATGGAGATGGAGAGGCTCACGTCACTTTTCGTGTTTGATAAGGATCCGCAATCGAGAACGAAGAAACGAAGACAAGGCGAAGGCGTACGGTCAAATATATTGGAATTTTATTATGCATGACAGCTCCAAAACGAAAGAAACCAACAACAATGGACACTCCCCCGAACGAACGAACAACAAGGAGCGGTTGGACCTGAGCCCCAGACCCCAGACCCCAGACCCCAGACCCCGGATCCCGGATCCCAGACCCCCGACCCTGGACTCTGATGGCCTGCTGGCCGTCTGGCCGGCTGGCCGTCTGGCCGGCTGGCTGCTTACCTGTTTGACAGCGGGTTGCCTCCGATATACCAAAATGCCTAGCCATGTGAGAAAAGATTGCGTTATTCATATTTTAATTTTACTTGTTCAAAAAGTTCTTTCATTTCTTTTTTGATTATTACTCGTATTTTATGTGTGTTTTTGGAAAACGATTCTTGAATATCGATAAGGTGCCAGGGCGGAACGTTCTCTTTGTTGTTGTGGGCTGATTATGTAAGATTTCCGTCTGTCCAACCGTTCGTTCTCCGAAAGGAAACATCGATTTATATTTTGACAAATGATTTCCCAATGAGTTGACAGTTTTTAATCGTGCCTCTCGAGACTCGCGAGTTAATAAAAGACGAAAACAACGAGAGGAGAGAACATGTATTTAATTAATTAAGCCGCGTCAAGATACAAGATAAGAGAGGGCCAATAATGAAAAACATTCAGGCTTGTTAACGTTAAACGTTGGAGATGCATCCCCATAATGATAACTCAAAATGGAACTCCTCGCAAAAGGTAGATCATAAACTACTCTTAAATTGATAACTAATGGAATAACTTACCTCTTAAATGAATTGTACTTACAAACAAACAATAAATAATCGCATTATATCCATTGAATGGAAATTACAGGACAACAAAGCCAGCAAATGGTAAATAAATCTGTTGCATGGGGAATGGAATCAGCAAAGCGAGAAACGGCAATTCATAACAAATTTCAACAAATTATTCGTAATTTCATAAACGATTTGGGCAAATATTGTATCTGTTAACTGATTTGCAGAACAAATATAGGGCGGTCGACCGTCCAGGGAGACCATCAGTTGACCAGAGACTTTCCCTGCAGCAAGTGGCAACAGCTATAGATAAATAAATTGTACAATGTCTACAACATTTACCATAAATGGACAACCTTATACGGGTAAAGGATAGATCAAGGATATACTGGGTATCGCTCAGAACCAGCCATTGCATCTTTCCTTTCCATCTTCCACAGTAAACCTAGCTGATCTGCCACCCGACATCACCCTGAACACCTTCATACGGGAGCATGCCCAACTGACGGCCACGAAGTTCATGTGCTTGGAGGGGGGCTGTGGAGCCTGTGTGTGCGTTGTGCGCGACGCCAACGGACCCAGAGCCGTCAATTCGGTGGGACCAGAGATCAACGGAATCATTCCAATTCTAACAAATATCTCCCATCGCCTTCACAGTGCCTCAAACTACTGAATACCTGCACCCAGCTGGATATCGTTACATGCGAGGGACTGGGCAGTCAGCGCAGCGGTTACCATCCGATACAGAAGCGTCTGGCCAAGATGAATGGCACCCAGTGCGGGTACTGCTCCCCGGGATTCGTGATGAACATGTACGGGCTGCTGGAGCAGCACGACGGTAAGGTGACCATGGCGGTGGTGGAGAACGCCTTTAGTGGCAACATTTGTCGCTGCACCGGCTACCGTCCCATTCTGGATGCCATGAAGTCCTTTGCGGTGGACAGCGATATCCAGGTTCCCGCCGAATGTGCGGATATCGAGGATCTGAACCTGGAGGCCCGCAACTGTCCCAAGACGGGGCAGCCCTGTAGAGGCAGCTGTCATCGGTCCACTTTGGTCTATGAGAACGGGAGCCAGTGGCACTGGCCCAAGACCTTGAATGAGCTGTTTGAGGCCCTGGACAAGATCGGAGAGGCAGATCAATTCATGCTGGTGGCTGGCAACACGGCGCATGGTGTCTACAGACGATCGACGGACATCAAGCACTTTATCGATGTGAGTGGAGTGGAGGAGCTGCATGGGCACAGCACTGAGGGGCAGCAGCTAAAGCTGGGCGCGAACCTCAGTCTGACGCAGACCATGGACATCCTTATTACGACGGCCAAGCAGCCCGGCTTTGAGTATCTGGAGGTTCTATGGAACCATTTGGATCTCATTGCGAATGTCCCCGTGCGCAATGTGAGTTTGGAGTCAGCTCCCAGGGTCGATCATCTGAGTTGACCTCCTCTTCTTTACAGTCGGGGACTTTGGCTGGAAACATCTCTATTAAGAAACAGCATCCCGAGTTCCCATCGGATGTCTTTCTGTCCTTCGAGGCTTTGGATGCAAAGGTTCTGGCAATGAAAAGTGCCACTGAGGAGCAGGAAATTACCCTTGCCGAATACTTGGGCGCAACCGATAGAAAGCTTGTGGTGAAAGCATTCCTCCTGCCTGCCTATCCCAAGGATAAGTTTATATACGAGTCCTACAAAGTAATGTATTGATTATTTCCACAGTTCCCTTCCTATAGAAAGTCTTTCTTGTGCAATAGATCATGCCACGGGCCCAGAATGCCCATGCCTATGTCAATGCCGCTTTTCTTCTCGAGTTGGAAAACGGTTCAAAGGTGAAGAATGCCAGGATTTGCTTTGGTGGCATCCGACCCGACTTTGTCCACGCCACCGCCATTGAGCAGTTGATGGTGGGACACAGTCCCTACGAGAGTGGAATCATAGAACAGACGTTTGATTCGCTACCAAGTGTTTTCAATCCAGACGAGGTCCTGCCTGATGCCAGTCCTGCCTATCGCACGAAATTGGCTTGCGGATTACTCTACAAGTTTTTTCTGAAGCACGCCCCACCTGCAGAGGTCGCGGAGAATTTCAAGAGTGGCGGCCAACTTCTTCAGCGGCAGCTCTCATCTGGTCTTCAGCTCTTCCAGACGCAGAAGCAGAACTACCCAGTCACCCAGGCAGTGCAGAAGTTAGAGGGCATGATCCAGTGTTCCGGCGAGGCCACGTACATGAACGATGTGCCCACCACCTCCAACACCGTTCACTCCGCTTTCGTGGGCGCCACAAAAGTGGGAGCCACCATCGACGACATTGATGCCAAAGAGGCGCTGCAGCAACCTGGTGTGATTGCCTTCTACTGTGCCAAGGATGTGCCTGGGGCAAACACCTTCTCGGATCCCAGCTTTGGCTACCAGGCGGAGGAAATCTTCTGCTCGGGGCTAGTGCGTCACTCGGAACAACCGGCGGGAGTGATCGTAGCCCTCACTGCCGATCAGGCTCAGCGGGCGGCAAAGCTGGTGAAGATCAGCTACAGTCGGGCGAGCTCCGACTTCAAATTGATGCCCACTTTGAAGGAAGTTTTTTCCTCTGCCACCCCGGATCCATCACGTATAATTGCAGTGGCCAAATCGAAACTAAAGGAAGTAACATTCTCCGACAAGCCTGATATGGAAGTAAGGGGCATCTTCGACATGGGCCTGCAGTATCACTTTACGATGGAGCCACAAACGACTGTAGCCATTCCTTTCGAAGACGGCCTGAAGGTATTCTCGGCTACACAGTGGATGGACCACACGCAGTCTGTCATCGCCCGCATGCTCCAGATGAAGGCCAAAGATGTGCAATTACAGGTGTGTGATTCCTTTCAATTTCCGTGTTCTTTGATACCTAATCCTCATTCTAGGTTCGTCGATTAGGCGGTGGCTATGGCTCAAAGATCTCCCGCGGGAATCAGGTGGCCTGCGCCGCTTGTTTGGCTGCCTTCAAGCTTAATCGTCCTGTTCGCTTTGTCCAGACTCTGGAGTCCATGATGGACTGCAATGGCAAGCGCTGGGCCTGTCGGTCTGAATATGAGTGCCATGTGAAAGCCAGTGGGAAAATGGTCGGCTTGTCGAACGATTTCTACGAGGATGCAGGCTGGAATACCAACGAGAGTCCTGTGGAGGGTCACTCGACCTATACAGCTGGCAATTGCTACGAGTTCACAGACAAAAACTTCAAGCTCAGTGGCCATGAGGTGCTCACAGATGCCCCCAGCTCCACTTGGTGTCGTGCCCCGGGCTCTGTTGAGGGCCTGGCCATGATGGAGAACATTATTGAACATGTTGCCTTTGCGGTTCAGCGAGATCCTGCAGACGTGCGCCTTGCAAACATCAGCAAGAAGACCAAGATGGCCACTCTGCTGCCAGAGTTCCTCAAGTCGAGGGAGTACTATGCCAGGAAAAAGGAGATCGATACCCACAACGCCAACAATCGCTGGATGAAACGAGGTCTCGGCCTTTCCGTAATGAACTTTCCAGTCATCTATATAGGACAGTTTCCGGCCACAGTGGCCATCTACCATGTGGATGGCACTGTTGTAGTCACCCACGGAGGCATCGAAATGGGGCAAGGTGTGTTGTGGAACCCTCTCCTGAAAGTACATTGATTGATTTCTTTCCAGGTATGAACACAAAGATCGCCCAAGTGGCTGCCTATACGTTGGGAATAGATTTGAGCTACATTAAAGTGGAATCCTCTGACACCATCAATGGAGCCAACTCCATGGTGACGGGCTATGCCATTGGCAGTGAGAGTGTCTGCTATGCAGTCCGCAAGATCTGCGAGACCCTCAACGCTCGCCTGAAGCCCGTGAGGAAGAGCAAAGCCAGCTGGGTGGAGACCGTGGAAGCCGCCAATGCCGCCTTGATCAATCTGATCGCCTCCGATCACTACAAAACGGGTGATATGCAGAACTATCAGGTGCTTGGACTGGCCCTGTCCGAAATCGAGATGGATGTGCTCACTGGGAACATTGTGATCCGTCGCGTCGATATCCTCGAAGATGCTGGAGAGAGTCTCAGTCCCTATATCGATGTCGGTCAGGTCGAGGGCGCCTTTGTCATGGGTCTGGGCTACTGGCTCAGCGAACTCCTGATCTACGAGAGCGACAATGGCCGCCTGCTCACCAATCGCACCTGGAACTACCATCCACTGGGGGCCAAGGACATTCCCATCGATTTTCGCATTGAACTGGTGCACAATCCCAAGCCCAATGGGGCTGGCTTTATGCGCTCCAAGGCCACTGGAGAGCCGCCCTGCTGTCTGGCTGTGAGTGTGATATTTGCCCTACAGCAGGCAATGCAATCCGCTCGAGAGGATGCTGGCCTGCCGCGGGAGTGGCTACGATTAGGAGCTCCAACCACACCCGAGACTCTGCTCCTCAATGCGGGCCATGAAGTTACGGATTTTAAGCTCAAATAGGTATCGTATGGATTCATATATTCAGTGTATTAGCTCTTCGTTCACCAATTCCCATTAAAATTATTTTGTGACACCCAAAAGCTTAGCTCTTGAATTCAACGTTTATTTCGTGGTTTATTTAGGGATCGTAGCTCTCAAACAAAAGGCCAGCACTGCCAGATCAGTTCAAAACGAGGGGGAACGTTGTGAGTTGCTGCGGACACCGCAACTCTACAGTTATACCCGATACTTAGTCAGTATGGCTTTCCTCCGGCAGACGCCGCTAATATTAAACGACACGACAAAAAGTGCGTGCGAGAGAGACAGAAAATCAGGCTGTGCGTGACGTCGGGCGCTGCGTAGCCAATGCAAATTGATTTGTTCCTTTTGGCTATAAAAATTATCTGATCTGATCCAGACTCAGCAATCTGATAGATATGGTCATTCTCTATGATTCTGCGTTTTTAGTTTTCTCAAATCTGCAATATTGTGGATGCAACAGATTTTCGTCCTTTGTGGGGGCGGATGGGGGTGGGGCGAAATTCTGAGATATACGTTTTATAGTGACATCTTAAAGGAGTGTGTGTACCAAATTTGGTTACTCTAGCCTTAATAGTCTCTGAGATTTGTGGTTGCCTCAGATTTTCGTCCTTTGCGGGGGCGGAAGGGGGTGTGGCGAAATTTGGACATGAAACGGTCAAGGTCCGATATCACAGGAGTGTGGATACCAAATTTGGTTGCTCTGGCTTTTATAGGTTCTGAGATCCTTGAACTCATATTTTGCAATTGGCAAAACCGACCATGAAACCTGTGTGTTAGAGTGAGACAGAGCGAGAAAGAGTGAAATTGTTTTCGTGATTCTGGCTGTAATAATTATACGATCTGGTTCAGATTTTGCACTCTAGAAGATATAGTCATCTTCTACGATTCTGCGTTTTTAGTTTTCTCGTATCGTCGAAATTGTGGATGCCACAGATTTTCGCCCTTTGTGGGGGCGGAAGTGGGCGGGGCAAAGTTTTGAAATATTTTTGGAGCAGTGACATATCACAGAAGTCTGGATCCAAAACATCGTTACTCTAGCTCTTATAGTCTTTGAGCATTAGGCGCTGAAGGGGACGGACAGACGGACGGACGGACAGACGGACAGACGGACAGACAGACATGGCTCAATCGACTCGGCTATTGATGCTGATCAAGAATATATATACTTTATAGGGTCGGAAACGATTCCTTCTGGACGTTACACACATCCACTTTTACCACAAATCTAATATACCCCAATACTCATTTTGAGTATCGGGTATAAAAAAGCTTCACTATTTGTAGCTATGTATGTATGTTCTCTCTCTTTACCACAAACTTAAAAAGAGCTTCGCGTTGTCCCGTTTGTTGTGTGTTTTTTCCGCTCTCTCACGAATAACATTTATTATTCGGACAAATTTTCGATTTCTGTTTAACTTTTGACTCTGTTCGAACGCTTTGAGTGTTTTAATTAATATCACTTAAAAGCTTGTTTTTCGAGTTTTTCGAATGTTGAAGCTTTTCAAATACGTTTTATTTTTGTTGGGTCTGCTGAAGAGCTACATAAAGTGGGCGAGCATGCAAGAGGAGAGCGCAAATATTATGCCGGCCGGCAATTATGTGCTCTCTCCCTCTCTCTCTCTCTCTCTCGCTATCAAACTCTGTAGAAGCGCTCTTCTAATTTCCCTTATGCCTATTTTTAGTGTACACGTGACTCGGGGTATTGCGTTTAACACAATTCAAAGGCAGTTTATCAAGTCTGTGTGGCTTGAAAAGTCATTAAATAAACACAAAGTAAATATATACAAATGTTTAGAGGCTGTAAAGCGAGATACAACGACTATTATCCCCAGTATGCAATCAAAATACGAATGCTATACATATGTATGTAGCTCTAACAAAAGGCTCTCTCACGTAGTCATTTGTTGACGCGACGGAGCGCCAAAGTCTTTTCAGATAGGGTATGCCAGGGATACATCAAATGATGAGAAATACTAGTTACAGATTTTATATCTCTAAAACCAAGTTCTCTTGAACGAGGACCTAATGGACTGCTCTCCGTAACTGTTTTTGAAATCCATTTTCCTAAGCCAAAAACGTCACTTTTCTCCTCTCCCGAATCATTCCTGTTAAAAACACCCTGCCGAAGGGTATTCCATGCTTCGTTGCGCCAAAGTTTGACCTCTTTTATTTTTTGCTGTTCTCGCAAATATCGTGACTATACACAGCTGCCAAAAGACAACAACAGAAAACAGCTGACGAATGGCTTGGAAGCCGGCAGCAGCTGAAAACGAAACGAAACGTAACGGAGCCGTCGGAGCGATAGACTGCAATTATTTGCGATCGCGAGCGAGGCATGAAAGCTTAACAAAATTATTGTTAATTTATACAGAGTTCCCGGCAAACTGACATTTATCTACGGCTGCCACAAAAATCGCAATCAAATTCTGTGGAGCAGATCGTCAAGGGGCGATCGAATCGATCGTTCAGTTAAGCAACGGCAGTGCTTGTGGCAAGAAGCGAACCTCGCAGTGGAACACCAGAGACGGAAAACATTGGAAAATATCAAAAAAGTGGCCACCAATTGAATTATTTATAGAAAAAACTATCAGCAGCTGACATTTGAGTGAATTTGTTTGTGGTGTGAACTAGAAAAATGACTACAAAATTCACAATTAATGGACAGCCGTACACGGGTGAGTTTTAAAAGTTTTTATGTATACATAGGTGTTTGGATTCTTAGTTCCGCTAGGTAAACGAGAGAACGATGGTGCAAGCTAATTATAATATAGTGTAATAAGTAAAACCATGAATGACACCACAGTAGGGTAATTATTTAGCCAAGGTTTAATTAGTATATTTCTGTGATTAAAAGATTCTTGATAAAGTCTAATTAACAAAATGCTAATTGTCAGTGAAGAAAGTGCTAAGAATCGGTTACTCCCTTTACAGCCCTAGTCCAAAATAGTAAGATCATTTCGTTGGTTCTTGACATAAATCGTTAGATCATTTTGTTTTCTATTATTGAAACAGTCAGAGGAGAATCCTATCCCTTTTGTGATCTCATATTTATATTGGTCTTTGGTGAAGTCTCCAGAAAAGATGATCTGCGGCTCTGATGTAAACAAATTGTAGTGTTTAGTCTACCAAGTTGATCATATATCATTTAATATGATACATGTTTATTCCCTTCAGATAAGGACAGTAATCAAGTAATAGTAGAGTCTAAGTAGTACAATAGCTTTTGAAACTGCACGCAATCGTTGACTGTGTAACACATTCATTTAGCACAAAATTATATACTGTCCTCACCCCCTATTTTCCACAGTGAATCTGACAAATCTGCCCCCAGACATCACTCTCAATACCTTCATTCGGGAGCATGCCCAACTGACGGCCACGAAGTTCATGTGCCAGGAGGGAGGATGTGGGGCCTGTGTTTGCGTAGTCCGCAATGGAACCCGCAGCTGGGCCGTCAATTCGGTTTGAACAGATCCCATCCATTCATTCGCTCAACCTCTAACTAGAAATCGTTTATGTTCTCTCTTTGTAGTGCCTCACGCTTCTGAATACCTGCGCCCAGCTGGAGATCGTCACTGCCGAGGGGTTGGGCAATCAACGCACTGGCTATAACCCCATTCAGAAGCGTCTGGCCAAGATGAATGGCACCCAGTGCGGATACTGCTCCCCGGGATTCGTGATGAATATGTACGGTCTGCTGGAGCAGCATGACGGCAAGGTGAGCATGGCGGAGGTGGAGAACTCCTTCGGTGGCAACATTTGTCGCTGCACCGGCTACCGTCCCATTCTGGATGCCATGAAGTCCTTTGCGGTGGACAGCGATATCCAGGTTCCCGCCGAATGTGCGGATATCGAGGATCTGAGCCTGGAGGCCCTCAACTGTCCCAAGACGGGGCAGCCCTGTAGCGGCAGCTGTCATCGTTCCACTTTGGTCTATGAGGACGGGAGCCAGTGGCACTGGCCCAAGACCTTGAATGAGCTGTTTGAGGCCCTGGACAAGATCGGAGAGGCAGATCAATTCATGCTGGTGGCTGGCAACACGGCGCATGGTGTCTACAGACGATCGACGGATATCAAGCACTTCATCGATGTGAGTGGAGTGGAGGAGCTGCATGGGCACAGCACTGAGGGGCAGCAGCTAAAGCTGGGCGCGAACCTCAGTCTGACGCAGACCATGGACATCCTTATTACGACGGCCAAGCAGCCCGGCTTTGAGTATCTGGAGGTTCTATGGAACCATTTGGATCTCATTGCGAATGTCCCCGTGCGCAATGTGAGTTTGGAGTCAGCTCCCAGGGTCGATCATCTGAGTTGACCTCCTCTTCTTTACAGTCGGGGACTTTGGCTGGAAACATCTCTATTAAGAAACAGCATCCCGAGTTCCCATCGGATGTCTTTCTGTCCTTCGAGGCTTTGGATGCAAAGGTTCTGGCAATGAAAAGTGCCACTGAGGAGCAGGAAATTACCCTTGCCGAATACTTGGGCGCAACCGATAGAAAGCTTGTGGTGAAAGCATTCCTCCTGCCTGCCTATCCCAAGGATAAGTTTATATACGAGTCCTACAAAGTAATGTATTGATTATTTCCACAGTTCCCTTCCTATAGAAAGTCTTTCTTGTGCAATAGATCATGCCACGGGCCCAGAATGCCCATGCCTATGTCAATGCCGCTTTTCTTCTCGAGTTGGAAAACGGTTCAAAGGTGAAGAATGCCAGGATTTGCTTTGGTGGCATCCGACCCGACTTTGTCCACGCCACCGCCATTGAGCAGTTGATGGTGGGACACAGTCCCTACGAGAGTGGACTCATAGAACAGACGTTTGATTCGCTACCAAGTGTTTTCAATCCAGACGAGGTCCTGCCTGATGCCAGTCCTGCCTATCGCTCGAAATTGGCCTGCGGATTACTCTACAAGTTTTTTCTGAAGCACGCCCCACCTGCAGAGGTCGCGGAGAATTTCAAGAGTGGAGGTCAGATTCTTCAGCGCCCATTATCATCGGGTCTGCAGGTGTACCAGACCCAGAAGCAGAACTATCCCGTAACCCAGGCCGTGCAGAAGGTAGAGGGCATGATCCAGTGCTCGGGGGAAGCTACCTACATGAACGATGTGCTGACCCCGTCCAACACCGTATACTGCGCCTTCGTAGGAGCTACTAAGGTGGGAGCCACCATCGATGCAATCGATAGCAAGGAGGCCTGCAAGCAACCTGGAGTGATTGCCTTCTACAGTGCCAAAGATGTGCCTGGGACAAACACCTTCTGTGAGCCGAGCTTTGGCTACCAGGTAGAGGAGATCTTCTGCTCCGGACTGGTGCGTCACTCGGAACAACCGGCGGGAGTGATCGTAGCCCTCACTGCCGATCAAGCTCAGCGGGCGGCAAAGCTGGTGAAGATCACCTACACTCAGGCGACCTCCGACTTCAAATTGATAACCAGCATTGGGGATGTCTTTGCTTCGGAAACACCGGATCCGTCACGCATCATTGCTGTGTCCAAATCGAAGCTGAAGGAAGTGACTTTCTCCGACACTCCCGATTTGGAAGTTAGAGGCATATTGCAGATAGGCCTGCAGTATCACTTCACCATGGAGCCGCAAACGACGGTGGTCATTCCTTTTGAGGATGGCCTGAAGGTCTTCTCGGCCACCCAGTGGATGGACCACACTCAGGCTGTCATTGCAAACATGCTGCAAGTGAAGGCCAAGGATGTTCAGTTACAGGTGATTTGTTCCTTTACATTTTTGAGTTTTTTATTCACTTATCGTCATTCCAGGTTCGGCGATTGGGCGGTGGCTATGGCTCGAAGATCACCCGCGGGAATCAGGTGGCCTGCGCCGCTTCCTTGGCTGCCTATAAGCTGAATCGTCCTGTTCGCTTTGTTCAGACTCTGGAGTCCATGATGGACTGTAATGGCAAGCGCTGGGCCTGTCGCTCTGACTATCAGTGTCACGTGAAGGCCAACGGCAAGATTGTCGGCTTGTCGAATGATTTCTACGAAGATGCTGGTTGGGTAAATAACGAGAGTCCCATCGATATGCACTCAACCTTGACTGCGACCAATTGTTACGACTTTACTGGCGTCAACTTCAAGAACAATGGCAACGCGGTGATCACAGATGCTCCCAGTTCTACTTGGTGTCGGGCGCCGGGATCGGTGGAGGGCATTGCCATGATGGAGAATATTATTGAACATGTTGCTTTTGAGGTCCAGAGCGATCCGGCAGCTGTGCGACTCCTCAACATAGCCTCAACCCACAAGTTGTCTGAATTGTTGCCGCAGTTCCTCGAGTCGCGGGAATATTATGAGAGGAAGAAAGAGATCGAGGCGCACAATTCCGAGAACCGCTGGATGAAGCGCGGCCTGGGCCTAGCCGTGATGGACTATCCCATTTTCTACTTTGGTCAGTACCCCGCTACCGTGGCCATCTATCATGTGGATGGAACAGTTGTGGTTACCCACGGAGGCATCGAAATGGGGCAAGGTAAGTGGGGGCCACTGTTTAGTATCATTATTGCTTTTATTATCTATGGATATCATTCCAGGAATGAACACAAAGGTGGCTCAGGTGGCTGCCTACACCCTGGGCATCGATTTGAGCTTCATCAAGGTAGAATCTTCGGACACCATCAATGGCGCCAACTCAATGGTCACTGGCGGAGCCGTCGGCAGCGAGAGTCTCTGCTTTGCAGTTCGCAAAACCTGCGAGATCCTCAACACCAGACTGCAGCCGGTGAAGAAGAGCGGCGACAGTTGGGTTAAGACCGTGGGCGCTGCCTATGACAAATCCGTCAACCTGATTGCCTCCGATCACTACAAAGCGGGTGACATGGAGAACTACCATGTGTACGGCATGGCACTCACCGAAATCGAGTTGGATGTCCTCACCGGCAACAATCAAATCAAGCGCGTGGATATCCTCGAGGATGCTGGCGAAAGTCTCAGTCCATTTATCGACATTGGCCAGGTCGAGGGCGCCTTTGTCATGTGCCTGGGCTACTGGCTCAGCGAACAGTTGGTCTACGATCGCGAAACGGGCCGCCTGGTCACCAACCGCACGTGGAACTACAAGCCGCCCGGCGCCAAGGATATTCCCATTGATTTTCGCATCGAATTGGCCCAGAAACCCAATCCCAATGGGCCGGGCTTTATGCGTTCCAAGGCCACTGGAGAGCCGCCTTGCTGCCTGGCTGTCAGTGTGGTGTTTGCCCTCCAACAGGCCCTGCAATCGGCCCGACATGATGCAGGGCTGCCGCGCGAGTGGGTGCGTCTGGGAGCACCCACTACGCCCGAGACTTTGGTGCTGAATGCGGGTCATGAGGCGACGAGCTTTAGGCTTAAGTAGATTCTAATTTCGAATGGGTTTTGGTATTTCTTTTAAGATATAAGTTAACAAATATTATCCAAATTGGCCACTTCTGTAAGATCGCTGAGTAGGCAGATTCACTGACCGTGGGAGCGCGGCCGCCGAGACCGCCAGATGCCGGCCTGCATCGGACACCAGACCCGAAGCGCAATGTCAGCGTTTCTGCTTCACTTTCTAAACTTATTTTTACTTATATTCCAAATATACCTACTATGCGTTTATTTGTTTTTGTATCCTATAAAAAATTCTACAAAAGAAAGCAGTTCAAATGCATTTGGGGCTGCGTAATTAGCTTGAAGATTTCGCACAGTGCCCGCTTTGATGGCGCTCTTATCGGCCGCTGGAACCCGTTTAGCCTAATTAACGGGTAATCAGGTTTCAGGCAGCGCTTTGAAATAGAAGCGAATGTCCAAGACCTCGCACCATTTGGCTACCGACTCTGCAACGATGAGCATCAGATTTAGTGTGAATGGCTTCCCCTACGAGGTGCAGGCTGGGGACTACGCCCCGGACCTCACCCTGAACGCATTCCTGCGCCAGCATCTCCACCTGACGGCCACCAAGTACATGTGCCTGGAAGGCGGCTGCGGCTCCTGTGTGTGTGTCATCCGACGACGTCATCCGGCCACAGACGAGGCGCAGTCGAGAGCAGCCAACTCTGTAAGTACTGTAGACAGGGATTGGTTTTCCCTTGGCTACTAATAAAACTTTATTTCAAGTGCCTGACGCTGCTCAACACCTGCGATGATGTGGATATCATAACGGACGAGGGATTGGGCAACCAACTGAGCGGCTACCATCCCATTCAGAAGCGTCTGGCCCAGCTGAACGGCACCCAGTGCGGGTACTGCTCCCCGGGATTCGTGATGAACATGTACGGGCTGCTGGAACAGCATCGGGGGCAGGTGAGCATGGCCCAAGTGGAGGACGCTTTCGGTGGCAACATTTGCCGCTGCACCGGCTATCGCCCCATACTGGATACCATGAAATCCTTTGCGGTGGACAGCGACATTGCAGTGCCTGCGGAGTGTGTGGACATTGAGGACTCCTTCGAGCTGCTGTGCCCCCGAACGGGACAGTCCTGCCGGGACAGCTGCTCCAGACCGGCGCGCAGGCAGGACAATGGTGCCGCCCACTGGTATTGGCCCAAGACGCTGACGGAGCTCTTCTCAGCCCTCAGCCAGGTGGCGAGGGGAGAGCTCTACTTCCTGGTGGGCGGCAACACGGCTCACGGGGTCTACCGGCGGCCCAGGGGCATACGCCACTACATCGACGTTAATGCGGTGCCAGAGCTGAAGCAGCACAGCCTCGAAACGGATCATATTCTGCTCGGCGGCAATGTCACCCTTACCGATGCCATGGAATTGTTTCTCATCGCCGCCAAGCGGCCGGGATTCGAGTATTGCGCACAGTTGTGGCAGCACTTCAACCTGATTGCCAATGTCCCAGTGCGAAACGTGAGTAGATAGCGGGCCATAAATCCACAAAACTCGTTTCGTCGGTGACCAAATAAGTAGATAAATTCAACAAATTAGTGGGTGCAACTTGTGGATACTCTTACTCTTCTTCTAAGAAGAGAGTTCCCATTCCACAACTAACAAATTGCTTCTCTTTTCGCATAGACACTGCTCTGTGTTAGGGAATATCTTTAAACTCATTTAACTTTCACAAGCTTATGTCGCAGAGAGAGTAAATCAAAGCTACACTGAAGAAAAACATCTATTTATACCACATATAACGTGTTCTACAGAATGGAACATTGGCTGGAAATATCACCATCAAGAAGGAGCATCCCGAATTCCCCTCGGATGTGTTCATCACCTTTGAGGCATTGGATGTCAATGTTTTGGTCTATGATAATCCCAGTAGCCAGCGGGTTATGAGCCTCCTGACTTATCTGAGCGATGCCACACCGAAACTGGTCATCGGCGGTTTCATATTGAGGGCCTATCCCAAGGATAGATATATTTTCAACTCCTACAAGGTGAGGTTTGAAATTCCCTGAACGATCTCCTATTAATTCTGTATATTCTAACAGATCCTGCCTAGAGCGCAGAATGTTCATGCCTATGTCAATGCGGGAATCCTTATCGAATGGCAGGACCTACAGCGGCATATTGTGCGGTCGGCTCGCATTTGCTTTGGCAACATTCGACCCGACTACGTGCACGATCAGCCAATGGAGCTGCTCCTGCCAGGCAGAGATCTCTACGATCCGGCCACAGTCACTCAGATGTTTGAGCAGCTGCAAGGCAGCCTCCAGGCCGAGGAGAGGCCGCCAGAGGCATCGCCCGAGTATCGTCAGATGTTGGCCTGTGGGCTCCTCTATAAATTCCTGCTGGGCTCCGCTCCCAGGGATCTGGTAAGGGAAAATTATCGCAGCGGAGGTCTACTGCTGGAGCGTGCTCTGTCCTCGGGCAGTCAAACATTCGAGACGATCAAAAAGAACTATCCAGTCACACAGGCGGTACAGAAGCTGGAAGGTGAGTACCATCTTGAGAGGAGTGCAATCAGATGCTGAGTTTTTTTGATCTTTGCAGGTCTCATTCAGTGCTCGGGCGAGGCCACGTATATGAACGATCTCTTGACCACTTCGAATGCCGTCTATTGTGCCTTTGTCACGGCCAAGCGAGTGGGAGCCACAATCGAGCAGATTGATCCCTCGGCTGCCCTGCAGTGCCAGGGAGTTGTGGCCTTCTATGCGGCCAAGGATATACCGGGAGCGAATAACTTCGTGACGGTCACCCCGCTTACGCCTGAAGTGGATGAGATCTTTGCTGCTGGTCGGGTCAAGCACTACGACCAACCTCTGGGTGTGATTGCAGCCCTCTCGCAGGATACGGCTGTCTATGCAGCCACCCTGGTGCAGGTAACCTACGCCAACGATCAGCGGAAGATCTACACGAGCATCAACCACGTGCTGGCAGCCAAGCTGGAGAATCGCATCGTCTGTCTAAAGAAGGACAGTGAGGAAAAAGAGGTACTGAATCCATCTGCTTTGGCGCCTGGCGATGTATTGGGTCGGGGTATTCTGCAACTGGAATCGCAGTACCACTTCACAATGGAGCCGCAGACAACAATTGTGGTGCCCATTGACAATATTCTGCAGGTGTGGTGCTCCACCCAGTGGATGGATGGCACTCAGGGAAGCATTGCCCATATGCTGAAGGTGAATGTGAACACAGTGCAGCTCCAGGTGCGACGTGTGGGAGGTGCATATGGCGCAAAGGTCACGCGCTGCAATATTGTAGCCTGTGCCGCCGCCTTGGTGGCCTCTAAGCTGAACCGGCCCGCCAGATTTGTCCAGACCATCGAATCCATGATGGAGTGCAATGGCAAGCGATGGGCCTGTCGTTCGGATTACGAGTTCCGTGCACGTGCTAATGGATTGATCACCATGTTGACCAATAAATACTACGAAGATGCGGGCTGCAATCTCAACGAGAATGTGGTCGATTTTCTCACACTGCCGGCCCTCAGGAATGTCTACAACTTGACGAACTCCAACTACAAGACCTCGGGAAGTGCCATCCTAACAGATGCCCCCAGTTCCACATGGTGTCGGGCACCTGGAACAGCAGAGGGTAAGCCCTGCTTGACCTCCTTTCCGTCCTTAAAATAACTTTGGATTCCCTCTTACCTCTTCAGCAATCGCCATGACGGAAACAGCTCTAGAGCACATCGCCTTCACTTGTCAGCTGGATCCAGCCGATGTCCGTCTGGTCAATCTCCGACCTGGTAGCAAGATGGTGCAACTCCTGCCCAGATTCCTGGCCACCACAGAATACCGCAAGCGACGGGGGCAGATCAACCTATTCAACGCGCAGAATCGGTGGCGTAAACGCGGACTGGGACTGACTCTCATGGAGTTTCCGCTGAACACGACCGTTGGCTTCACGTATCCCACGACGGTGGCCATTTACCACGAGGATGGATCGGTGGTCATCACGCACGGTGGCATAGAGATTGGCCAGGGCATCAATACGAAGGCGGCCCAGGTGGCAGCCTTCGTACTAGGCGTGCCCCTGGAGCGCGTGAGCGTAGAGAGCAGCAACACGGTAAGCGGAGCCAATTCCATGATCACGGCCAACTCCATGAGCAGCGAAATGATTGGACTGGCCGTGCGCAAGGCCTGCGACACGCTGAACAAGCGTCTGGAGCCCGTGAAGAAACAGCTGGGAAAAAAAGCAACCTGGTTGCAGATCCTACAGGCTGCCTACTTGCAGTCCGTTATTCTTATAGCCAGCGACTCTTATAAACTGGGAGATATTCCCAGCTACAGCATCTTTGGACTGAGTCTCAGTGAACTGGAGCTGGACATACTCACTGGCAACCACTTGATTCGCCGCGTCGATATCCTCGAAGATGCTGGAGAGAGTCTCAGCCCCAACATCGATGTGGGCCAGGTGGAGGGCGCCTTTGTCATGGGCCTCGGCTACTATCTGACGGAGCTGCTGGTCTACGATCGCCAGACGGGCCGCATTCTCACCAATCGCACCTGGAACTACCATCCGCCTGGCGCCAAGGACATCCCCATCGATTTCCGCATAGAACTGCTCCAAAAGAACCCCAATCCGGTGGGTTTCATGCGCTCTAAGTCAACGGGTGAGCCAGCCCTCTGTCTCTCCGTGGGCGTACTCTTTGCCATGCAGCATGCCATCCAATCGGCCAGAACAGATGCGGGACTACCTCGAGAGTGGGTGCGCCTGGGGGCACCAACCACGCCAGAGACTGTAGTTCTGAATGCGGGCCACCAAGTGCAGAGCTTTGCCCTGAAGTGAGATGGGATATGGTTGGGTATACTCCCATATTAATTGCTTATTAGATTTAAGTTGTTTGGGGAATTCAGTGAAATATATATTTGCTTACACAGTTATATCTCTCAGAACTTCTTTTGATTGAATGAGTGTTACACAAACAATCCAACAACAAATACAGTCTTTGGCGAAGAACAAAAGTCGAACGAAGGATACCCGATAAGAGAATGTAAGTATCAGTGTCCGTAAGACGAACCGTCGAACGAAAATTTAAATGGAATTTCTTCTTAATGCAATATCTTGGTATTTTATAATCTTTGATTTCATTTTGTTGAATTTCAATTACGATCATATGGGTATACAAACGATCTCTTTCTACAAACAAAAACCCTTTCATAGCGATATACCTACACATATGATTCCTTGGAATGTGAGTTATTAGAAGCCGAAAGCTTTCAACTATT